GAAGCAAGAGGCAGACAAATCTGTCTATGGGGCATGGTCTCCATAGGGATCTCCATGCCAGCCAGGTGTACATACTAAGACCTTGTCTTGAATCAAACAAAAAAGCAAGCAATCAAACAAATAATAAAATAAAAATGTAAAAATAAAAGCCAAATTATTATAAAATAAGGTAGAGTTTATAAGCAGAAGATTTGTAAACTTCAGAAAACTATTCATAATTATCTCCAGGAAATATCTCTTACTTTTTACTACAGAAAAAAAATTTGCAAATGGGAGGTACTAAAATAATCAGATGAGAGAACAATTAGTGACTATTAGCCCAAGCATTGTCTCATTGTAATAATCAAGAGGTTTAGCTTGCTACACATCAATTAATGTTATTTTAATAATGAAAAACTGATTACTCTAAATAAATTTATGAGATTACAAAGGATTTCCATAAATCACAGTACTATGATTTCTCTAGGATTCAACAAAGAGAAAACAGTATAGTTTGATCAGATATGTAATTTTATAAAATAAGCATAATCAAATATAGAAAATATAACAAGTATCAACCAAAAGCCAATTAGTACTTTTAAACATTCTCACAAGATATAGCTTGATGCGGTTAGTCTCGCCTATAATCCCAGAATTTGGGATGTGGCGAAAGAAGAATCAGGTGTTGGAGATCACCCTCAGCCAGTGAGAAATCAGATTGCGGTACTAGAAACTCTCTCAAAAAAGCAAACAAAACAAAACAAAAGATTCTTACCAATACTCAAAAATTTCAGGATTACAACTAGCATAACATTAATACACATTAATATATAATACATATAGAAAAATTAGTGTGCTGACAACTGTGCACCAAGTTTTAACCATGATTTCATTCAATTTTTCAATTTTCTTCAACTTTCAAATGAATAACTGCAGCAGACAAATGCTCATATGAATGGGTAACAATCAAGACATCAACAGTTTCCATTTAATAGCATAATGGGGAGTTCTGCACCTTGACAGGCCTGTTTGAGAAAATGTGTTAAATGAATGCATGTCTTACACATATTATTATATCATCAGCATTTAAAAAGTGACCTACTTGTGACTTGACAAAAAAACGATGCTTCTTCACCAAGAATTGTAACTAATGTTTACTTTTACCTTCAACTTAAGTTTAAAATATTCTTATTTGAAATTTGCTTAAAACAACTTAACCATAATCCAGTTCATCCAGTTGTGATTTCTGCTCACTTCATAATTTTAGAATAGGTGAAACAGTGACCTGATTCTTCAAACATCATATCTCCAGAAATGATTAATCTGAAGATAAACAAACTACACATGATGAGCCATGTACTCAAGTTCATGATTTCTAGTGGGCTTTATTCTTGTTTTCTGACACGGTCTCCTTCCCCATCCTTTCTATAATTTCTACAGCTGCTTATCCACAAACTAAATTTATCAAGCATGACACCATTAAAAAAAAATTAAGATTTTTTTCAGGTTTGGTTTTCAGGAAGATTAAGCTATACCTGTCAAAATATTTTTTTTTTCTTTTAGAGTTCTAAAGTATTAAATGTATTTAAAAAGCTAGTCACTGGGGCTGGAGAGATGGCTCAGTGTTAAGAGCACTGTCTGCTCCTCCAAAGGACCCAGGTTCAATTCCCAGCATACACATGGCTGCTCACAAATATCTGTAACCCCAATTCAAGGGATCTGACACCTTCACACTAATTTGAATACAAAAATTAAATTAAACAAATTTTTAAAAATTAAAAAAATAAAAAGCCAGTCACTTATTAAGTTTTCTGAATATATAAAAAAGATGCCTAATTTTATGGTTAGCATCTCAATGTTTTAACAAAAACATAAATCACTGAAATTATAAATCTACCAAATTCTACCAAGCAAGATATTCCTTACAGAGCCTGTTTGCAAAATTTTATGAAAAGTTCAGCAATATCTAGACCCTGATATATGAAAAAAACACAAATGCAATCAGAAAGCAAAGAAACTAGTTAGATAAGAAGGCCTTTAAGATACAGGGGATTTGAAAAACCAAAACTCAATCCCTTCTGTTTGCTTTTATGGCTGCTTTGAAAATTTTCCCCTTGATTTTATGAAGCTACCATTTAATATTAGTCCAAACACCATGTAAAACTCTGAATACTAAAAGATTTTACAATCAGAGATAAAAGGGATCTTAAACTCATCTATCTATCAGTAAAGAGAGGAGCCTATTGGTTAAGCGACTTGCCTGGTCACTGAGACTCTTGATTTGCTATGGCTGCTTAGGAGATGAGGACTTTCGTTTTGTTTGTGCCATGTGTTTCCAATGAGGACCTTTCCCTTGAGATTCGTCCTTGAGTTGCCATGTTTTCTCTCATGGAGGATAACAATGATCCAAAAGTAACACACTGACTATAGTTGGAAGGAACAGATACCTTAGGACGACTAGTTTATGATGAGTGTACCTGGCCACATAAGTAGCAGAGGCATTTAGCAGAATTCTGATTTAACTGTTGAGAGCAGAAGTGTCTGATCTTTTTCCTTTACTACCTAGCCTATAAACTGTTTTTCCAAGTACTGATTCAACTAGTCTGCTTTAAACAGTTTCATCTAGTTTTCAATTTATAGAAGCTGAGTGGAAAACATGTAATGTACTTGTTAATATTCATTCTCTGTATTTAGGTCATATAGAGAGCATAGGTTACCTAAACTTATTTGAAAGAAAAAACAAAAACAAACAAACAAACAAACAAATGCTACTCTCTAAGTGGAAGAAGTTCAAACTAAAACACTTTTCAGTGTGGGCTACATCTAATCTATTAACTCTCAGGACCAGAACTGAGGACAGTCACTACAACTGGAAGAGAGGAAACAATTGTTTTGCATGACACAATTATGCAAAAACTTCCTCCAAGAAATGTTACAGATGTTTCTTTTCTAAGAAAAATTAGTAGTTTGTTAATGTAGGCAGGGCAGGGCCTGCAGCTTCACTAACCAAGTTCTACCAAAGGTGTGTGTGTATGGGCCAGGAGGGGGGAGAGGGGACAACATTAGCACTACTTACTTCCTACAGACAACCCTAATTTGAATCGCTCTAAGTCTGGTAATTCTAATGTCCAGCAGATACTTACAAGTGCCCTTGGATCTCCCCTGTTGAAATGGTTAAGGTCAGAAACATGCTAGTTCCAGAAGTGCTCTAGGAAACCTACTACAGGAACCAAGAGCTCTATGGATCCACATCAGCTTCGGGGGCGAGCGGGTGGGGGTGGGGGAGTGGGCCTGCAGCTACAGGAAACAGTAATGGTTTACTGTGTGCAAAAACCTCAAAGGAGAAGGTCAGACAAGGATAATAGGCCAATTTAATTCTGAAAGCACAAGGTGCAAGAAATTTTATTATGGTCTGCCACTGAAATCACCTAAGATCCAATAGCATCTAACTGCAACTGCTCATCAAGAGAAACAAGAGGTGTAATTGTAACCGCGATATAATCACTGTGAGCGCGCCGGAGACTGATGCTGCCTACAGCTCCCAGCAGAGAAGTATTAAGAGCCTGGAAAATCCAATACAGAGAAAAGAGATTGTACATGGCGTAGCGAAACAAAAGCCAAAGCGGTGTGTGTGTGTGTGTGTGTGTGTGTGTGTGTGTGTGTGTGTTTATACACTGATAAAGATGTTTCACCCATACGGAGGACACAGGCTGGAAAACTCTGGTTTTACAGATACATGTCTCTACCTCCTCAGAACTCCCTTCTTGAAGCTTCTCCCACTCTCCTTTGTTTAAAATACTTAGCCTCGCTGTTACAAAGATTGGCAATATCAGACTCTCTGGAATGCGAACCCAACACACCCGAGTCTAGAGGGAAAACACCGTGTTCACTACTCTAGACCCCTCTGAAGAGCTCCTGAGCTGCTCAGAGGCTCCTACAAGAAGCACAGACCCCCCGCCTGTGCTCTTTCACCCAGCCAAGAGCAACAGCCAGCCCCAAGGAAGGCAAGCTGCCCAGACGCGCCCGCTTCGAAGTTGGCACTAAAGTTTGTCCAAGGTTGTCCAGAATCTTGAGGAGAAAGGGACATGAGGTGAAAGGACAGTAGGAGGAAGTTGAGTTTTTCGAGTGGATACTGAAGCAGGTCTCCTACGTCGGAAGCCTTTTTGGTCAGTGCACTCTGGGAAAGTCACCCTGGCGCCGTCTCTGGGGTTTGGGAGCTGTCACCAGAGGGCAGCCCAGGAAGGAGCAGGAAACGTCCTCCAGGCGCCAGGGAAGGTCCCCAGGTTTCCGACTCACTGGATATTGGGGCTCATAGCAGAGGGGGAAGGCAGATGGCAGAGCGGACAAGAGGCAAAAGCAACACCTTTCTGCTAGCCTTCTCCAAATTCGTGCTGGGAGGGCCAGGACTCTCTCAAGCCACTCTACTCCGGCCGGCTATTAATCCCCAGCTCAGACCAGTCCACTGCCAGAGGTGGGTGGGGTGCAGCGTGAAGGCCTAGGGCTTAAAGGTTGAGACCTTAAAACCAGCCCTAGTCTCTAGCCAAGACAACCGAATGCGTTTACACAAGCCAGAGCCAGTAACAGCTCGCGGCTGGCTCAAGGCTTAGCTCCCGACTCTCCTGTTATTCCTAATAAAGTCGATTACGTTGCCCTCCCGGAGATGATTGGAAGGGAACCGAGAAGGAAACGGGGGCGGCGAGGGAAAGAGCAGGGGGAGCAATCAACTTTGCGACCCAGCACTTCCTCGCGATCCGTCGCCATGCTTAAGATCCACCCCCACCCCCTCCTGCCTTTCAAGTGGATACTGAAACTAGGCCAAAACTTTTCCCCTCCTTTTCTCTTTGCCACTAGACTGGATTGTGCCCCATGGAGCCCCATGGAGCTCTGCTTTCTTAAGCACAATAGCCGGACTAATTAGATCATAGAAGCAAGGCAGCGATACTGTAACAAGTAGCCCAAGAGGCAAAAGAGGGAAGGGCCAAAGAAAGGGAAAGGAGAAAGTTTGCAGCTCTCACACTTACCGATCAAGCCGCCCACAAGAAAGGCAACGATTTGGAAAACCAACAGAATCCCTCCAACAATGCAGAGCTTCTTGGTGCTCATGTTTTCTATAATTGCCCCAGCCATTTCTGCGCCCCCCTTTCTTTTCTCCTTTAAGTAAATGTTTTAGGGTATGCTTTCCGCTTCCCTTCTTCTTTCTTGTCCTCTTTTCCTGGTGCTGCAAAACTTCAAGGGTGCAATGGCACAGAGGAGGTGAGACCCAGACCCCAGGCGCCCGCGTAGATCCCTGGGCGAAGCCGCTCGGATACCCCAGATGCCCAGAGCTGAGACTGCGGCCGCTCGGCAGCCAGTGGACGCTTAAAGGAGCAGGGAAGTGGATCACATGACACGCCTCCCTCTCTTTCTTCCTCCCTCCCTCTCGCGCTTCCTCCCTCCCTCCCTCTCTTCCTCAACCCTGGCCCGCCAGTTCAGGGATCTGAGCTCCCGCCAGCTCTGGCTACCCGCCCTTAGGTCTGGCCTGTAGCTTGCCCCGGCAACAGCTGTTATCTTGAGGGAGGTGGGGGTGGGGTGGCTGTGTTGTTAAATTGGTTTGGCATACACAGCCTCTAACATGTTTCCTTGTCTGGTTCCCAAAGTAAGGGATTTAAGTTGCACACGGGCCGATTTGTAAACCCTTATCTTACCCGTTGAGCCCACCCCACCACCAAGTACTTAAGCTCTAGGAAAAAGGTGAATTTTAAAAAGGAATCTAATGAAGATTAAATCAAATTATAAAGAGAAGAAATAAGGTCTCGGTTCAGATTCCTTCTCCCTAGCCTGGGTTATACCTGGCTGCATTGTCCTTTTTAGGAGGGCTGGCTCTCTAGTCAAATCAAATCTGTTCCTCACTCCACCCTGGATTTCCAGTCTTGGTCTTGACTATTACCTAAATGCTTTAAAGTTAATTCATAACCAAATTCGTTTTAAAACTGTTTGTTTTGTTTTTTAACACCCCTTTTATGTCCTTGCTAAGAGTTGGTATCTCCAACACTGCTTTCACACTTTCACCTTCTATTATAAGATTTTGTGTGTGCACATTTGTTTCCATTACTAAGCTGTAGAGTGCTGAGAGATTGGGACCAAGTTAAATTCTCTTTGTATACCCTCCCATAGTGCCTAACAAAATTCTCACACTAGGAGATACTGCAGGAAGTATTGTGGAATGAATAAATGAATGAATGTTTAACCAAGCCCACAGTTTGCATTTCAAAAGCCTAAAGGATTTTACTTGGGTTAGATAGTACATACATTAAGTAGAACCTGTCAGAGTTTCAGGTGGGTGGTCACAGCTACTGGGAGGCTAAGTTAAGAATAGGAATTTAAGACCAACCTGAATAACTTTTCCAGACCCTATCTCAAAATAAAAACTAAAAAGTGATCTGGGGATGTAGCTTTGTGGGAAAGCTCTTGTTTAACACATGGTCTGAGGCCCTAGATTGAAACCCTATGGAAGGCAGAGAAGGAGAAAAGACAATATTGACTCTTTGAGAGATGTATTTATATTTATATACTACGTTCAAGGAAAAGTGGTGACCAGAGATCTTAAAAGATTTCTTGAGCTGTCTGTCCTAAACTCTTAGGGCCTGTTTTTTTGTTGTTGTTTTTCTTTTCTTCCATGTTTCATAAACTGTCTATTTTGCCAATACAACTCACATCACACCTTAGCTTTATAAAGGTGCCTCCTTGCCTTCCCAACATAGGTTTTCTTAAGCCACCAGCATACCTGATTCCTTGTTTCTTGTCTTCTTCCTGTGGAGGAAATATTGTCCTCCTCTGATATATTTTGCATCTGCATTGCCTTATAGATGACACCATGTAAGATACATGAACAGGGTCATTCTTAGTCCCCAACTAGGTCAGTTACTCCTTTAGACAGGTACTGGGCTGCACCTATATAAAACTTTATTTTATCTTCTTGGCCTCCAGCAGACCTTAACAGTTCCATGGCTATAGCTGTTTTTAAATATTGTTTTTTTTTCCTTCAGTCCATTGCCTAACAGTTACTTACTACCTCTAATGTGTTTTCCTCTTTCTTTCCTGAGCACTAGAGGATACCAAAACTGCAAGAGTATTCTGAAGAAACTTCATGCTACTTGTCATTCACTGTATAATTACTATGTGGTAGTTTATGTGTGTGTGTGTGTGTGTGTGTGTGTGTGTTAAAGAGAGAAAAAGGAGGTACACAAAAGGAGGGAAGAGAGGAAGAAATAGAAATCCTGATTCCATAGGGCTCCTGCTAGACACGGTGTACTGGGATTGCTAAAATTAAAGTGTTCATTTCTATTGGCTCATGGCCTTTTAAAAATCACCTTTCTGTATAGCTGTCCTTACGTCATCAAACCTAAGCACAAAATCAGATGGAGTCTTAGTTACTTTTCTATTTCTGTGATAACACATCATGACTAAGGCAATTTACAGAATAAAGAGTTTATATGGACTTACAGTGCCAATGAGTTCATGATTGAAAGGAAAGCCATGGCAACAGGAATAGTTGATTTCCAAGTAGGAGGTAGAGGAGAAGCTAACTAGGAATCCTTGAGCTTTTTGAAACCTCAAACCCTACACCTAGTGACAAACTTTCTCCAAAAAAAGACTACTCCTACTCCTTCCAATTTGGGCCCAAGTATTCAGACATATAAGCCTATGGGGGCATTCTCAATCAAACTATTACAGAGTGGGACATTCTCATTCAAATCACCACAGGTACCTTCCTTGTGTCTTTGGTCTTGAATAGATCTTTGCATGTAAAGGAAAGCTTTGAGTAAACTTGTTACTCTTTTCTCATAAAGTGGGTTTTGGGATAGGAATATCTCCATGAGATGCTTTTAAGATGTCATTTTCTGTTATTTTGTAAATATTAATAGCGACTATCAGATCATCATTTCCCAATGTGATAACATGAATATGTAGATTAAAAAGCTTGAATGTTTTTCCTGATAGGTTTGGTGTGGAATCTAGATCCCTGCCCCAGTTGTCTGAAACCACAGTATATCATAGTTACTAGTCAGCTCCAAGGCTCAATTTTTTCACCTATAAAAGCAAGATCTAGCTTCAGGGAATCCAGTACCCTCTGTCAGCCTCCATGGGCACCTGCATACCATACCACACCATACACACACACACACACACACACACACACACACACACACACACACACA